TTAGTCGAGCTTATGAAATTACAACTCGAAATGAATTCGAGTCTAAAAAATGACAGAAAAATAAAAGGAGTAGTTGGATTTTTTTTGGATAAATCAAATTTTATTATGCAGAAGAACAGAGTTCTGCTACAAAAACAATCAACCAATCAGAAACAAAACTAACAACAACCTACTATAAAAGATAATGATTGGTTTAAGTAATACCCCAATTAATACAAAGGTTAGAGTTTATTCTATCAGCTCTATTAATATTTTTACCCTTTAGTTGAATTCGCACAGCTTCAATAATAACCTTGAGCAAATCATCAGGAGATCTGTGACGACCTTGGAAGATTCTACGATTTCTTTCCTCCCACAATGTGTAGATATAGGCAGTCCAAGCAATCTTCAGGATTGTGGTGAGCAATGATTTCCCTTTCCATGATGAAGAAGCCAGAGTAACCATTTCTTCCCATGAAGATGAAACATTCTTCAAGCCATTAAGCGAAAGGACAGAGTTCCAAAGGCGAACAGCAAGAGCGCATTGACAGAAAAGATGATTTCTTGTCTCCTGATCGTTACTGTAGTTAGCACATGTTCCTTCAGTGGAAATTCCCATTTTGAGAAGCCGATCTCTAGTAGGTAATCTGTTTAACAAAGACATCCAAGCAATCAAACTGAATTTAGGAATGTGCATGGAAAACCAAATCAGATTCTGCCAGGGAACTTTCTCCCTTTTGATTCGAATAGATTCCCAAATGTCATTAAGCCTAAGATAACCAGAAGAAGATAATATTGTGAGAGCAATAGAGCGTAATTTTAAAATTCTAGTAACAATCCAACTCACATTAGAACCTGCAACAAAATTCCAGAAATCTTGACATAAGATTTTAACCATGCAACCCAAAGCGAGCCATCACCCGCAGAAGATAGGTTTTGTTTTACACGTTGAAAAGGAAAAGAAACCCGAAGGTGTATAGTTTGCTCCATTTGAGTGAGGCGGAAAACCTTTGGAAAAGGAAAACAAAATCAATCGTGAACCATGCGAAATTTACCTTCGCGACTTTTAGCCATAGCATCTATCTGTGCATGATGAAAGGTGTCAGAAAATTCTACTGGAATTCGACAAGTAGGACAAACTGTTCCAACAAACCCATAGACTGACCTCATCAATAAAAATTATTGATGGTGCTTCCTTCTTTGCTCTTGCAAAGTGATCTCTAACTCGAGATGCACCCATGCCAACAAACAACTCTACAAACTCACTGGCAGAACAACTTATAAATGGAACTTCTGCTTCACCAGACACAGCTTTTGCTAGAAGAGTCTTACCTATACCAGGAAGACCCACCTATAACACAAATAAAACCATAAAAAACATTATTTACATTTTTTATAAGAAGGTTGCAAATAAACCATCACATGCTCCTCAAGTATAAGCAAGGTGTGGGGACATTGAACATGATGAATTCCATATATAAATATTTTTAGCTTATCATAACAATAGATACAAGTAGAAGGCAATACAAGATCAAAAGCTTTCAGCGGAGAAAATAAACTAGAGAAGAAGAGACAGGTCCAGGAAATCCAACACAGTTTCCGAAGATTAATAAAGTTTGCAAATAATACATTGCCTCTATACAACAAAAGCTTTATCATCATTGGGAAGTAAAGTTTTCTAAATATCAACTCACCAGGAGAACTCCTCCAGGTGGACGAGCACCAAGCCGTATATATCTGTCTGGATTCCTAAGAAATTCCTGGGCCGCAAACATAAACATATAAAAACGAGAGTTTGAATTCATAAGGACGTTTATTACAAAAATTTCAGTTGTGGTAGCATATAAAGTACAAGAATATTAATGTACCACAATTTCTTCTAGCTCCTCCTTGGTCTCATCAATACCAGCAACATCAGAAAAAGTGACTATTTCACCTTGTTCAGGTACTTTTGAAATACTAGGACCTCCAGCCTTGCGATTCCTAATCTGACCAGCTTTATGCTGCATGATGCATTATTCAAATCAGAACCTTTCACTGCTACATACGCAATGTACTCACAGGGAACAATGGAGAAGTCCTGTAAGGGCAGCAACATAGAACAAAGCTATCTGCAAAAGATAGGAAGTCAAATATATAAAATTCCATGTTTTAGATGTATATTAGCAAGTGAATTGGAAAAAAATCCATGGTATATCTGAGAACTGCCTATCATCTACACTCCAACATCCCATTTTTAGGCATATTAGAAATTGCAGTTTAATCAAGGGTTCTGACAATGTTAACTCTTTTTCAGAAAAAAATAACCCATCATAAATACCCTCCACTAGTCAGAGCAAACTGATACCCTGGCTATATTTATTTTATTCTCGTCTGTCAACTTTTCCTAACTAAAGATATCTTTTCCCCAAATTATATTTGGAACATCAAGAGGGAATAAAATTTCAAATAGTTGAGGGCTCATCAGATTACTACTTGACATACCTAATCAAGGCAAATGAAGGCAAAGAAGATACCCTCAATTAAATCTTAAATTACATACAATCTAGCAGGAAGCTTACGACAATGAAGACCTTTGCTGTGAGCCATGACTTTTGGAGGAAAAAAAATGGATGCTCCGATGTAGTTTTCGGAGACTACGAATTTGAGGGACAATTGCCTATGACATGGTTTAGGAGAACCAATCAACAATGGAGAAAATTCATGTGATTCTTTGTTTCCCCTTGGCTTTGGCTTGACATGCAGCAAGGAGAAACCTACAGAGTAATGATTTTCATGGCCCAGGTCAGCAGTGCCAGGCTCTTTTCCTTTTTTAATAATCAAGGCAAATACATCTGGTCCTTTGGCGTTTGATGTTTTCCTTTTTCGGACTTTGTCTTTGAAAGGCCTGCCCCATGAATGAATTCAACCACTTCAATCTCTCATAGTTTCCAAGTCACAAAAATGTCAGTCATCATGTCTAGAGGGGCCTGTCTCTCCTTTCTCTGGATGGTGATTTATGTGTATTCAATAGAATAATTCAAGCTTTATATCTTTAACATGCATGGATGAATGCATTTCTGAGGATGAAATTGAACCATAAGAAAAAAAAATGGGTATTTTGATTCTTATCTAAGAAATCTCAGGGCAATATTTGATGCCCACTTCCCCTCAGATTCTCAACTAAAATCCCAGGCTATATCAAATAATACTAATGGCTAATGTTTCTGAATGGCATATATATGTCCTCTCTGCTTTTTCATTTTCTATTGTCCTAAAGATACCCTTAGAACACATTCTTGTAGCCTAATTTGTTTCACTGGAACCAGATATGCAGTCTTGTAACGTTTTGGTTGCTTAAATATTACATACTTTATTCTTCTTTGAAATGTGCAGAAAGACCCCCAAAATTAGACCAAATTCAAATATTTTTTAGGCCATTGAAGAACAGCATTGAAATTAGAAAATACCCTCTTCCCCAATGTAGTTGTAGATAAGAGCTTCGGTTACAAGCATCAGTTTTTTTTTAGTTTTCTTTCCCAACCAGAAGCATAGTAAGAGAAGAATCAGAATAATGTTAGATAACCGAAAGGGTCAAATTATGACATAATATGTGGTCGTCACTTGATAAGATGCTGATGAAAAAAAATAAGAATAAAGTTGCCTAGAATCCCTTTCTTTTGTTTTTTAAGATTATTCTGGCTAGTATTGTCAATCTACCTTCAAAAAGCTAGATACTTTATATGACCATATTGGTCATTTTGTCCCTGTATTATTTTCTTCATATATAGGACTGAATATACAATATGCCACCAACTTGGTGTTGTTGCCACTGCAAAGTAAAAAAATAAATAAACCAGCCATGGTTTGGAAATACAAACAAATAATGGATGTAGAGATATACAAGAAGTTGATGCAATGGCCTACATATTAATGGTCGCATGATTAAACCTGCAATCAACAAATATGGTCAAACCCATGTCAGTGCGGTGCAGAGAGAGAGAGAGAGATGGTCATGGAAGAAATCATAAAAGTGTCCAAGACAGATTTCAAGAGAGAGAGTCAGAGAGAGAGTCATGGAAGAAATCATAATTACACCAATTACCTTTGTGATGAAGTATCCAATACAGATTTCAAGACAATCATTCAACGCCATAATTCATTCAAAATAAGAATTGTGTTTAGAAAAAGAGAGAGAGCCATAATTCATTCAAAATAAGAATTGTGTTTAGAAAAGAGAGAGAGAGACTGAGTGAAATGTGTTACTCCAATCAACTTTATGGGGTCTTATAAGTTATTAATCATTGCTGATTTGTTTTATTAAATGATACAAATCATTAGTGAGAAGAACAATCTCTTTTTCATATCCGATGAATAGCTTTATAGATTGTCTCCATTGAAGAGTTCATAATTTGAGATTTTAAAATCGAGTGGAACACTTTATTATATTCATCAAGTTGATTGCAGACGTGCACTTAGTCTCACAAAATCATGGACTTGCCGCCATTTGTTTAGAAGATTGAAGGAGAGATATCTTGAACACACTTTAAGAAGGGTTTTACTGAAAAATTATATAAATAAACAGGGAAACCAACAGGGCAATCTGACCTGAATCTTGCTTTTGAGTGCCATACTTACATGGAGGAATCTTCTTTTTCACAAGAGGGTCTCTTAACAAAGATCTCACGAGGAAGAAAAGGGTACGGATTGAAGAATATGATGCTCATGTTAGTGGATTTCAGAGTCAGCCTCGACTAATGTTTTGATTTTTGAAGGTCAACACAGTCAAGTAGGCCATTTTGGGGGTATTTGGAAAGTGGGTTTATCACAATAGTCTCAAATGCCCTGTGAGTCAGCCAATATGAACCTATATCTAACCAAACCGGCTCAAAAATGAGCTGGTGCAGCCATTATAAAAAGGTTGAAGTTTTACCTAGAGTTGTACACCCTACATGGGGATGCTTCAAAATCTTTCAACCTACAGACTTATAACTCTTGCAATAGCAGCAAAAAATTGAACTTTTTTTTTTTCTGTTGGAAACTTGGAATCATTAGTCTTGAATCATATTACTAAGATTTACAGCATGGAACTGCCAAAAGTATACAACCAGATTGATGAACTTCTGAAAATTACGGCCACTCAGTCATGCCTAGAGCTGTCTAAGCTTCGAACTTCTGGTTGTAGATGCTTATTCTACATTTCTACTGCTTCATTCTCCATGTGAACCAGAACGAACCCTACTCTCCGATTCATGTATGGTGCCCGCTCAAATCTTATCTTTGAACCTTCTTAAGTTGCCAAATAATAGTAAAGTAGTGTCTTCATATCTTATGCTTCAAATCATATTCCTAGACTCTAAGACAACTTTATCTGTAGCACATATCCCACACGTTGATCTGTCGGTGCAGTCCAGATAAGCTCGCCACTATTACCAAATAGCACGGCCATTTGATCAAGGGGCAATCAGATTCAACTACAGAATCCTAAATACATGGGAAATCCATGTTTAAGAAGCTTCCCTCAGAGTTTCACATTTCATAGTCTTGAAATTCGTAGCAAAACCCAATCCTATCACCTCTTGGTTGAACGCTATGGAATAAACTCAAGCTCTTGATAATATACAGATAGACCATAAAAGCACAAAGACAGCTATAACAATCAACTGGAAGATGGCATGGTTTATCTATCGAGGAGAAACTCAGAATAGGAGGTCTTGAGGGTATTGTTCGGCCGGTTGCATCTGAAGAAACAAATTTTGAGGTCCAAAATAGGATTCATATGCAGCACTTCTATGCAGACTCTGCCCCTGCATTTTCAATCCACAGGAGGGAACCCCAAAAGGAGAAGACATTGGTATACTTCCTTGTGTTGAATTGAAAGGTGGATTCCATTGAAAGTTTGTTCTGGGCATGGCACCAGAATTTGGCTGCTGAGGCAGCACCGAAGACTGCTCGGGTGAGAGAGTTCCCTTATTGTCCGGGGAAGGAGTTCTCGTGTCATTGAGATTGACCGTCGTTATGTCATGAATGCTGGCTCTTCTCTTATCCTTCCCTCCTGAAAGCTGCCTGATGAAATACTTCTGCGCATGACTAGCCACCTGAGTCGGTGTTCGAGTGACAACGAAATTGCGAGATATGTTTCTCCAATCCCCTTTGCCGTACTTTTTTAGCCCCATTAGAAACAATCTGTTAAAAAAATCATCTTGTCAATGAAAAGAAAGATAAATATAAAGAAGCCAAATGCAAATTATTACACAAACAACTATAATCTTCACAATTAATTTCTTCACCTGCCGATACAAACAGATAATATAGATCGTAAAAGAATTAGCAAAATTAAAATCTGTCAAATGAACACTATTTAAACTTACTTATGCTCCTCTTCTGTCCAAGGAACCCCTTTTTTCCTCTCATGATCTCCAGGCCTGCCTGATGAAGATCTCTTTCCTCCGAGTCCATATGAATGTTTCAATCCATCATAGCCATGGCTATTCACCCAATCCAATGTGAATGGAGAGGTGCTATATCCAGGAATCGGGACCAGCCCTGCTTCTATACTGCTAACATCAGCTTCTAATTCTCTATATTGCTCGATCACATCTCCCACCGTCTTCCCTGGGATCATCGCCGCCACTTTCTGCCATCGGTCGGGCGTATCTTTATCGTAGACTGCCAAGGCATTCTCAAACATCTTGTTCTCTGCTGATGTCCATTTGGTGCTCTTACTATCTTCATCAAACCAATTTGTGCTGGAGATATAAGATGTTGGCGACAAAATTTCCATTTCCCACTTCATAACATCAAATCCAAACAATAAAACAACCAAACCCGAAATTTTTATCCAAAAGAGTTGCTAATTAACTGGTCGTTTCATAGGATTGATCACTTGAAGAACGGAATTTCGGCTACAGGACTGGCCAAGAGTTAAAAACAGAGCGAGAAACCATTGAGGAAATACAGAGTTGATAGGGCATCAAAGGAAAAATATCAGCGTTAAATCAGGGAGCATTTGCAAGGAATCAGAATACATTTTTTTTTTTAGTTTTAGGCAATCCTTGAAGAATCTAGAAAATACCCCACTTTCACAACACAAAAATAAGAATTTCAAACAAGTAAAAAATTATGTAGTAAAAACACTAAAGAAAATCCTAACACCACAAATCCACGATTAAGATCCGAAACAGTGAACTTTTTAATACTAACAACAGAACAAACTGTAAAAGAGCAAATACCCAGAAAGCCTTTTTGAAGAAAACTTGGGTAGGAACTACATATATTTATAACATAGCTGAGAAAATAATTACTATAATCTTCTTTTTTTCCTCTCTTTTGTAGTGTACTAATAACTGAAACAACTAACACTGAGCTTCAACTTCCTCTATAACCCAACTAGGTGAAAAAAGAGAAGTTGACAGCAGAATCCAAGAAACTGAGCTGAACCCAATAATCTAAAAAGGCTGAAAATGAAAACCCAATTTGGAAACTTCAAAAAATATTTAAAAAGAAAACAACGATTTCAGTAGAAGAATGATGAAATCTGAGAAAAAGATCTGTTATTTTCTTCTTTTTTGCTTGAGAAATTAACAATAAAGAAAAGAGAAGAAATAGATAAAGTGAAAAGAGTTCTAAGCTGAAAAAGAAAACAGCGAATCTACCATCGACCTTTCAAGGAATGAATATCTGTTACTAAAATCTTTGGGAAGAGAGAAAAGAACTGAAGAAGTAAAAAACAACTTATTGGATGGAAAAAAGGATAGTGGGGGCCACGGTCAGCTTGAAAAGGGGTAGCCGCCAAAAGAACGGTCCAGATCAACAGTAAAAAAAACTAAAATTTACATGCGGGCAGCTTGATTTAGTGGGGCCCACGGACGGTTACATTACATAATTGTACAGGTTAAGATCTCAAGGAGTTGGAGTAAGTAGATCCTCTGGTACGATCACGACACGTGGAATACAATGATTGTTTAACCAGTAATAACGCTAGGCCAGGTGGTAAGTAGCAAAGGTCACGACACGACCGATGAGGATAAATGATTGCGACAGTATTAATATTAGGTTTAAAAAATATGTTATCGGTTTTTTTTTATTAATTTTATTTCATTACTCAAGAAAGCATGTGAACCTGCTACAAATAGTACGATACATAAACAAAAATAAAATAGCTAGAACAAGAAAGAATAAGGGGAAGATACTAATACAAAATACCCTAGTTCATGTAAAGGAAAACATTTCTCGAGTCAGCCCTTCTATTAGACCATCCTTGAAAACGAATCTGAATGATCTCTTGGATGTCGTACAGGAGCTCACCCACACTTCTACCTCTTCCTCCAAACAACCTGGAGTTTCGCTCCCTACAAATACAGTACACATGGCTTGCAAAAGCAAGCTTCATCACTTGAACAATAAGAGACTTCCCTCTAAGAAGTTGTGCAACCCAAGCTAGCTCCCCATCCCAGCTGCTCACATCACAAACAATCCCGCATAGGGAAAGAATTTTGCCCCATAAATCATTCGCAAAACAACAACCAAAGAACAAGTGGTTTCTAGTCTCAGTGACCAAGTGTAACATCCCAAAATACGGGTTAGTGACTAAATCATAAAACTTCAGAGTTTGGTGATTTAAGTGGGATATTTGTATAGTCCGATGCTTTGTTCGGAAATATTTCCTGAAAGTTTTTAGTAATTATCCAAAGAATTAAAGGGCAAAATGGTCATTTAACCATTAAATGATTAATTTGTGTTATGTTGAGGATATATACGGGGGAAAGGGATAAGAAAAATATATCTTATTCTCCTCTTTTTCTTCCATACGAGAGAAAGCCATAGCAAAGGTAAGGGTTTTCTGATTTGTTGGTTATTTGTTAAATTAAAGGTTAGGTTTTGATCATTAGATGATAACTAAGCTTAAGGAAAGCTTAAGTTGTCTTATAATTAAAAGATGAAGAAGTTATAAGAGATTTAAGAAAACGAGTTTTTATATGAAATATTGAAATAGAGTTGATAAGTTGAATTTGAAGTTAAATTTGACTTGTCATCATGCTAATTAAGGAATATGAAGTGTTAGAATTGTATTTAGAACATATTGAAATTTGAATATGATTCTTGAATTTCATATGAAGAATAGGATTTTGAAGTTATAGATGATTTTCATGGATATAAGTTGGTTTAAGTAATGGTAGTTGAGTTTAATGACATGATAGGGGTTTAAAATAGAATAATTAAGTGAAAATTGATGATTTTCGGGCTTTAAATACAATTTCTGGGCATAGGGAACCGATACCCTATGAAGGGGAATCGATTCCCCTTCTAGAACGAGAAAATTTCCAGTATGTTCAGGGGGTATCGATTCCCCCCTGGGGGGTATCGATTCCCCCTAAAGGAAAAATGAAATTGGGTTCAATAATCTGGCTTAAGTTGTTAACATCAAGTTTAAGGTTTAGGCTTCTGATAGTTGTTTTGAAATGTTATATTTATGTAGATATTGAGCCTAAACAAGTTCCGGAATAATCAAAGGATTATAATCGAATCAAAGCAAGGCTAAGGTGAGTGCAATTTTAATTGTACTTATATTATTGAACATTGGCTTGCGATGAGCTAGTGATGGAGTTACTATGGTAAAAAGTGACTCTTAAAATGTTAATTGATTTGTGATTCTTATATATGCATGAATACATGAAATGTGTATAGGTTATTATATATGTTATATGATATGCATAGACATAAAAACATGAAACATAAGATATATGATATGATAAACATGATTATATGCATATGTGATATATACTATGAGACATGATCAATGTGAAATGAGATAAGTCATGTGAATATATGAAATGATATATGAATATGCAATACATGATACATGTGATATGATATGAAATACATGGTTACACATACATGTGGTATGTGACAGAAAAGAAAGAAAAGTGATGAGAAAAGTATTCATCATAAATGCCCATAGTATATGATACGAGAGCTATAGGTATAGTTGGCATGCCAAGAGTCGAGGGAATTGTAGTCCTTCGGACGTAGTGGTCCTACGGGACATATATAGCAGTCCTTCGGGACGAATACTGAACAAATGTTTGGTGCCCCATGAGGGAATTTATACGAGCTGTGGTGACAGCATTGGTGCACAACCTCAATATACTCACATACCTCTATCCTCAATAATATACATGGGCAACAACAACGACAATTGAAATATAAATTAAAGTGAAAGTGATACATAAAGGTAAGTTTCATGTGTGTATGACTTGGTTATATATGTCATAGGAAATATATCCATGCATATTGAAATATCATGATCAAATGGTAAGAATGCATATTCATGAAACTATTGTTACATGTTTATTTATTGCCTCACTAAGTCGATGACTTAGCGTGTAAGTGATTTAAACGTAGGTACCAAGAAACATGAAGAGCAAGAATAGAAGTGGCAAGGATAGTATTTTTACTAGAAGATCAGATCAGAAGTAATCGACAAAGTATGTATTTTGTTGTGTATAGAGTGTTGGCATGTAATAAGTCGTTAATTATGAGCACTCTGATCAAGTTTGTATTTTGTAGTCTCTTCTATGTAAATTAAAGTATTTTGTTTTAAATAAAGTTTTAAATTTCCCGGGAATTTTCTTTAAGTGTAAAGGTTTTAAAAGTCAATGTGACACCTCGGACTCGTATTCGGGTCGGGTACGGGTTGGGGTGTTACACCAAGCCACAGAATAAGCAGTTAACGTTTTCAAGGTTCATTCCCATACGTGATAATCTAGCACGAGTCGGGAGCCTATCTAAAATGACCATCCACAAGATAATGATTTGCTTAGGAACACGCCATGGGAACCAAACTAGCCTGTGTTAGGCGACCTTGGGGCTTTGAGTACGCAACTTCTCCCAAATTTTCCTAGTGCTAAGATCAGCAACAGAACCAGTAAGTAACTGAGACACAACATGTCTCATTTCCAGGATCTTCTTAAAGCTCCAGCTGGCACTAACAGGGACACACATTTGCCAAAAATCCAAGTTCTTAATAACATAAGCAATGACCCAAGCCACCCATAGGGAACCATCATTGACCAACAGCTTCCTGATCAAAGGCCCTGAGCATGCCTTGTTCCAGCCCTCTAAATTAACGACACCCAAACCCTCTTCTGATTTCATTAGACAAACATGCTTCCAACTCACTCGTGCACCTCTAGCAGATAAGTCAGCTCCTTTCCAGAAAAAATGATAACAAAGTTGTTCAATTTTCTTGATTACAGCTTGAGGAAGAAACACATGTCTACACCAATAATTTGCTATGCTAAAAATAACATACCGGATAAGCTGCAATCTACCAGCAAAGCTTAGATGTTTGTTGGCCCAAGTGTTAAGCCTGGCTTTTATCTTGTCAACAAGACCTTGGCATTCATGTATTGAAATTTTCCTTGTCACGAGGGGAACTCCGAGGTATCTCACAGGGAGAATTCCTTGTCTAAATCCCGTAATCTCATGAATGATATCGCACTGGACAGAAGAGATTCCAGCAGAGAACAACTCACATTTATTAACATTCAGTTTCAATCCAGATAAAGAATGGAACATATCAAGGACAGACTGCACACCAGCAATGGAATCAATGGTGCCCTTGCAGAATATAAGGAGGTCATCAGCAAAACACAAATGAGTGAGTTTTATCTTCCTGCATCTAGGATGAAACTAGAAAATTCCATTCATGGCAGCCAATTTTAACAAGCTAGATAAGACGTTCATAGCTAGGACAAAGAGATAGGGAGAAAGAGGATCTCCCTGTCTGACACCCCTAGCACTCTTAAAGAATCCCACAAGACTTCCATTAAGCACGATTGAATAGTTGGGATTAGTAAAGTAGGCCCATATCCAATTAATAAATCTCTCAGGCAACCCCAAAGCATAAAGAATAATGCCAACAAACTCCCAATTTAAAGAATCAAACGCTTTTTGTAAATCGATTTTCAGGGCACATCTTGGGGAATTATTTTTCCTGGCATATCCCCTAACAATCTCTTGAGCTAGAAGGGTGTTAGCAACTATGTTCCTACCCTTAATAAAAGCGGTTTGATTAAATGAAACCATGCCAGAGAAAACAGTAGACAAACGGTTAACTAGGATTTTTGTCACTGTCTTGTACATAACCGAGCAAAGAAAAATAGGCCTAAAATCTTTGACATAGCTGGGGTTTGGGATTTTTGGCACAAGAACTATAGCAGTAGCATTAAAGGAAGAGAAAATGAAGGATTTATTAAAACAAAACCTGATAGTATTCTTGAAGTCGTCACCAACAATTGACCAAGCAGCCTTGAAGAAAAGGGGATTGTAACCATCAGGGCCAGGGGATTTATCATTCCCTTGCCCCCAAATAGCATCCTTGATTTCCAAGTCAGTGACCACACTGCAA